AGGACCTGGGTTCAAATCACTGTTCTGACAATCGTAGTTGTGTGACCTGGGAAAGCATCTTGACCTATGATTCCTCGTATATGGAGTAGAGATACTAATATTGACCTCATAGGCTTATCTGTAGATTAGAGCTTTTGAGAGATTAGCATCCCAAAGCATCTTAATATACAGTCAGTAGCTCAAATAATTTCTGATTGATGCTGACTGGGCAGAAACAAACAAAAAACCCCAGTTTGGTAGTGAAATTGTGGTTCTGGTTACCACTGAAATTTCTAAACTATCTACTTTACTATTAATGCCACATTTTGTAGATTCAAAAATCAGGGTTTTAGGTCTTGACTTCAATGACTTCTATCTGTTTCTACATTTTCATCTTCTACATGTCTGTTTCACTACACAGTTGCCAGAAACTTCATATTCTAAATCCTCATAGTATCATCGTCCATTTTTCACCATTAGGTCTATAACACTTCACCTTTATCTTCTACTTCAAACCAGTTCTTGAATTTGTAGTCTTCCATTCTCCAGGGAAAGAGTCAATCCCTAAGTATCGATATTCCCTAAGACATGGTCCCTGTATCTCAGGGTATCAGAGTATAACTGGAGCCAAGCTGACTGTAATAGAGGGTAACAAGGAGTTGATTGTCTTTATGAACAAAGGTTTATGGGAAGGCTGATAAAGGATAATTCAGTTGGGGTGGAGGAGTGATGAGTGGAAGTTCTGGGAAAGGCCGCAGAGTGGAAGCAGCTCCTGAATCAGCCCTTTAAGAACGAACATAATTTCGTTTCTAGAAGAGGGAACAGGATGCCAGAACTTAAAAGTGAGCAGTTCTTATCTGTGGCATCATAGCAGATGGCAGGAGGGGTGGCTGTGGGTAGAGATTCCCTGATGGAGCTGGTGAGAGCCAGACTGTGAAGTGCTTTGGTAGTCAACCAAGAAGCCCCAAAGAGAAGTCTTCCTCTTCTTTAATTCTTGGAGCAGTTATTCTTGTGCACGTTTGCACAATACTTTGTCCTGTAAATACTTCTGAAAAAATCTCTGGAAGAGTTTTACAGATCCTTAGTAAACCAGGGAAAACCCCATTGCTTCTTTTTATGACTCTTTCCTTCCAATGTGGTATTTGGAGACAGCATGGCATAAAGATTAAAAAATAAAACTTCACTTCCTGCCTGCTGTTCTCAGTCTCCTCCCTTTCAACAGGGTCAGCTCAAGCAGGCTATGGCACTGCTGAATGTCACTTTCTTTATTTGAAAAGGAGGATATGACAGTTTCCATATGGTAGGGCTTCTCTGATGATGATTCAATAACGGCTTAGTAAGTGTTTGCTATTTGCTCTTTGCTAAGCATTAAATGACCATTGAGTAGGACCTGTGCTAGATTCTTGTATGGGAACAGGGTCAACAGACTGAGTCTTGTAGTGTAGTGATTCATTTTTATTATAACTATTATTAGTATATAAAAGGGATCTTTAATAAACACTATTAAAACAAATTAATATCTTCTAGCCATATCAATGCCCTGTCCATGGTGTTGGACTGATTGACGTTTGCCCAGATTGTAGAGTGTGCCACATGATTGACTCCCCATCTAGTCCTCATGTAGGTCTTCATTCACACCACTGCAGCCTTGGCAGTCTCATCAGTCCACCTGTATTCTGGAGACAGAGAGTTTCTGCAAGGCTTTAGATAAGAGCAGCCTCAGAAAGATGACTTGTTTGTCTGCAAGTCCTGCACTCGCATTAGTCAACCTTACTCTGACCGAGCTTTTCCTAAAACTTGCAGTTACTAGACCTTAGGAAGGCAGAACTCCAGAATCCTCATATCCCAAGATAACACAATCATATTTTCACTGCTGGTAAAGGGAACACACAAAAACAAATGCTTGAAGGTGTTGTTGATGAGATAGTTCCTCGCTGTGTGAAAGAAGACACCTATTGATCTTTAAGGAGCAGGGGCAGCAGGAGCAGAAGATGGGAGTCTAGGTAGACACAATGGAACTCATTCTTAAAGACAATGCTCACCTCTGGCAGAAGCACCGGAATGACTGAATCATATGTAGCAGGTCATCAAAATAGAGTAATATTTTTCAGTACAACTACAAGTGTACTACCTGTAGTAGCTTATTGGCTAACAAGGCATTGTTTTGTTTGGCTCTTTTGTCCTATGTCGTTCCAACTATTTTGGAACCCGTTATAGAGCCCAGGCTGGCCTCTTAAACTCACAACTGAATGCTGGGATTACAGGCAGGCACAAGCATGCCTAATCAGGGGTGCCACTCTTCATTTTTCTTACACTGTGTTATTCTAACTTCACCTTTGTTTATTTGCTCTTCAGTTAAGTTTCTGCTTAAAAAATGTGTTTTAACAGCTCAATATTCTGGGTGCGGATTATTCTTGGTTACCAATCACCTTTCTTCCATCAAGGAAAATCCTAAGCTATCTGTCAGCAGCTCCTCAACCTCTAATTAGGACTGGGGTACACTGCTACATTCTCCCCTGTAATATCATTATCTTTAATTTCCTTCCACTGGTTTTCTCCTATACCCTTTTGGTTGGTCTAATAGTTACTTGAAGGTCTTTCTGAACAAAGTCTATGATTCTTAACTCATGTAAGTTATAACTTCCAAGATTAATGTTTAGGCTATGACTTAAAAAAATCATCTTTGAAAATTCCCTCTTTAAAAGTAATAGACAAAGTTAAAGAAAATGCTAGAAGCATGTTTAATCTACATGGATGCTAAGATCTAGATATTCAGACTTGGGCAAAGTTTAAAGCCTGATTGTTAATTTATCCCAACTTAGTTATATTTTATAGAAGATTGCTAAGTCTCCAAAAAAAATGTGTGATATTTGAACCAAAGACCTGTACCTTCCCATGCAAAGAAATATAGAACATCTAACGTACAGCTGGGTAATTACTCTGAAGAAATAGATCTGCCAGGAAGTCATGAGTTATAATACAATACATTATCTTCATTGGAAAGTTAGGTAATAGATGAAGGTGTCTGGTCAAAAGGACAGCTTGAGAGGCCTTTTAACCCAGGTTAAGCAAACAACCACAAAACAAAACAATTCCAGGATTATATTTGGAAGCAATGAAGCAGCTTCTTGGAAGCCACATGGTACATTTTCAGCTCACCTCTCACCTGCATCAGTCACGTGATGAGTCAGAGCTTTTTGACCTGATGTTACCTGACTGAGTAAAGCCTCTGTATGCCTGCAATGTCCTTCAACATGTAGAATCACATCCCCAGTCCCACCTTGTCTTCGCAAGTAAGCAATGCCTATTTGTGAACCATTAGTGAGTTGTGGATTGTGACAGATAGCAGTTGAAGGAGGCCAAGAAACAGAAACTCCAGTCATCCTTAGAGTGTGAGAGCCAGACAAAGCTCAGCTCTGCTCCCCAGAGGGGTTGAAAGAATGCAGCATTGCAGAGGCTCTCTGTTATCCCAAGAACATCTTGTTTTCCATATTGTCCAGAAAAAAAAATTAAAGGACCACATCCTAAATACTCAGGATGAACTTCCTGATGGATTGGCTTGGAAAGACTCTTCACAGTAGGGACAAAACCAAAGCTGAGGTCATGGACATGCCCCATCATGGCTCCAGTCTGCCCCAGGCTGGCTGCTATCAAGCACCCACAGTTGGCATGGAGACCAGGCAGCAAAACCACCCTTCACTCCTGGTTTGAAGGAAGAACTCAGACAATGCTTTAACTGTTTTATAAGCACCGTCTCAATCATTCAAGACAAGATTTAGAATCAAATGCGAACTTCATGTAATTAGTCTTGGCATACATGGTCTGTTCATTTACTTTTAGTAGTAATTATTAAGGACTAATCATACATAAAACACTGCAAAACACAATCGTTCATTCCTCATAGAATTTTTTAACTAATAAGGTTAAACTGAAACATAAAAAAAGACAAAAATATGAATCCTTTGAGACAGTAACAAAGAATTTCAATGAATTAAAGAGCAGAATACATATATCTGACAAGGTTATTTAAAAAGCCTTCACAGAAGATGCCAATTTGGAGACAGTTCTGAGTAGAGACCTAGCCGCAAAGGAGAACATACTCAGAATAGGAGGAGATAGCAGCAATATCCCAGGGAAGCTGGTGTCCCCTTGAACTGTAACTGCCCAAATGAAGGAATCTACAGCATGTCATCTACGTCACCTCTAGCTCTGCCTTTCATTTTCTCCATCGTGTAAATTGTCCTAGGAGGTAGCACCCACCCAGCATGGTTACTTCCCTCCAATTAAAACATTAAATTTAACTTGAAGTTTTTGGGACTTTGATATATCATCAATGATAGGTTGCGGTTCCGACTTTCACAACTGAGTTCTGGCTTTATCGATTTAAAACATCTTAGTAACACTTAAAAATACTCCAAGAGGCACTCATTCAGTTCAGAGTCTGTGCCCAGAACCTGTAAAATCCTCCGTGCCTTGTGCTGCCACTGCAGGCAGTATGTGTAGGAAAGAAGGCAGGGGAATGCAGGACAAGTCCTACTGGCCCGTCCAGGGTTCCACCTAATTCCTATGACACGCCTAATGCAGGTGACATGTTCTCTAAGGTGTGGATAGGCAGTTAATTTCATGGAGAGTAGGAGGTGTAGGTTCACCTTTTGTTTTTTTGTTTTTTTTTTACAGTGGAGCATTATCTGAATGATACTCATTCTCTCTGGAGTGTGGCCTTCACCCAACAGGCAATAGCTGGGTTTTATTTTACAATAAGCACGGGCCACTGAAAGACACGAGCTGGATACTTGTTTCTGAAGAAGCTTTGGCTGAGAAGAGCTTCTTGATTAAGAATTTACTGAAAGGAAAACCAAATCCACCAGGAAGAGAACTGTGGGTCTCTTACCCCAACCTCTAAGAAACTATGCCGTGAAAAGGGTCCTGACCCATTGGCACACAGCAAGTTGGACAAGGCTCCAATTCTTTTCAGTTGTGGAGTAAAAGAAAGGAATTTTCTTGTTCAGGGAGTTTGAAGGATGGCTTCCCAGTTTCATCAGCTTCGGATCCTGGTATGGAAAAATTGGCTAGGTGTCAAAAGGCAGCCGGTAAGTTTTTTTTAAAGTTGCAGGGAGGGGGCAAGTGGCATTACTCTAGGCAATCCTAAAATACGGTGTTAATGAGAGTAGACTGAAAAGTTCTTAAAGGCATTTTTCAAAGCAGGAAATAAGATGTTTAGAATTCTTCCCTCCATCTGTCTTTTAGCTAATGGGGCGAGTCTTAACATGCCCCCAATGCAGCCTTTTGATTTTGGCAAATTAAAGAGTAAATCAGGATAAGCCCTGGGCAAAGGAAAAGGTGTACCTTGTTACTGGGTGAGTTGGAACTTGTGTGGAAATCTGGGTTAAAGCCAAAATGCTTCCAGAACTTTTCTTAATGACATTGGTTAAAAATAAGATGAATGAAAGTATCCTTGGATAGACTATACTAGAAAGCCAAAAGTGATACAAAATTGGTTGAAAAGTAAGATAGAAATAGTTTAAAGACTGTTAATACGGAAACTCTTCTAAAGTCCCTTTATAGTGTCTAAAAATCATTTACTGTCTAAGTGAGACTACGTGTG